AGTGAGGGAAAGATAGCGTCTTCAATAAATGGTCCTGGGAAAAGTGATTAACCACATTTAGATTGGTGTCTTTCTTTCTATCTCTTTTTCTTCCTTCCTGTTCCAAATCAATAAATTAAATATCTTAAAATCAGGTTGTAATTGATAAAATCTAGGAAATGTCAGCTGGCTGCTGACCTGAAGGTCTCATTAACTGACATGAACCTGGGAGGAATTGATCACAGAAAAGGTGACATCCTTTCAGCCCTGCACGCCAGGATACTTGATCTCATTAAGAGGAGATAAGCCCCGAGTTAAGAAAACTCACAAGAGAATAAAGAAAAAAAATTCAAGAAGATGGTGCCTGTGTTCTCTATGAATCCCATCCTCTCTTTATAGGCAAGCACATGAGGCGCAAGTACATGAGGTGCAAGTCACACTGTACCGTGACAGGTGAGCATGGACCAGGAAAACTGAAGCAGTCAGAAGGAAATGTCCACAGGCTCATGCAGGCAACTGCCTGCTGGGACCTGGCCACATGCTCCCCTGTCTGACTCCCCCAGGAGTGAATGTCCAAACTCCTGCCTGAAGTGCCCACAGCCCCACCTTCTCTCTACTCCCAGATTGTCATTCACTGGCACTCTCTCCCATATCGTTCCTGTCAGTGCATACGCTCTCATTCATCCCCTGTAAACACTTTCCTGGATTCCAGCTACAATGCGATTTCTTTGTACAGCCAGACTTTGTTATATTGTATTTTACTTTATTGTGCTTCACAGATGTTCCATTTTTTACAAATTGAAGGCAAGACCCTCCACCAGAAAAAGATTACAACTGACCGTGTCAGTGGTCTGGAACCAAGGAATGTCTGTACTTCTTTGCAGCAAAACAGCTGGAAAGGGTTGTTCAGACCTGCTGTCCTCAGCCCCTCTCCTCCCAGCCTATCTTAAACTTTCATTCCAATAAAAGCTTTTTTAAAAAGATTTATTTATTTATTTTTAGACAGAGGGGAAGGGAAGGAGAAAGAGAGGGAGAAAAACATCAGTGTATGGTTGTCTCTCATGTGCGCCCTACTGGGTACTTGGCCCACAGGCCAAGCCTCTGCCCTGACTGGGAATTGAACCAGCCTACCCTTTGCTTCACAGTCTGGTGCTCAATCCACGAAGCCACACCAGCCAGGGCTCCAATAAAAGTTTTGATCCCATTCTTCTACTCATCAGGGTTGTTTTTTTTAATCCTCACGCAAGGACATTTTTTCATTGCTTTTAGAGAGGAAGGGAAGGAAAAACACTGATGAGAGAAGCATTGACTGGTTGCCTCCCATATGCTCCTGGACTAGGGATAAAACCTACAACCTAAATATGTGCCCTGACAGGGAATTGAACTTGCAACCCTTTGGTTACTGGATGATGCTTCAACCAACTCAGCCTCCCGGGTAAGGGGATTTTTTGCCCTCTTCCTTCCTGAGCAGGCGGCAGCATTTCTCACAGTTGATCACTCCCCTCTTGACACACTTTGTTCCTGAGTTTCCAGAATGCCTCCCTCACTCTCTGGGCTTCCTCCTACTTCACCAGCTGCTCCTCTCACTTCTTTGCCAGTCCTCTTTTATCCCAGGCATCTTAACTCTCTACAGGCCCAGAGCTTTAGTGGTCCTCTTCTCTGTCTTCACTCCTTGATGATGCCATGTCATCTTGTCTTGTGGTTTTCAATACTATCTACTATAGTGTTTTCAGTTCTGTAATAAGAATGCCTCTTATGGATGATGACATTATAGATTGGATGGTTATATTATAAATTGACAGCCTCCAAATGTACACCTCCTGCCCAGACCCACTCCTGAGCTTAAGACTTTTGTGTCTCGTGAGTGCTCGACGTTCCTTCTCGGGTGTCTAGCGGCCCTCCCACGCTTCACAGTCCCAGACTGAATCCTCCTGCCCTGTCTGTTATTTCAGTGCATAGCAACTCCTTCCTCCCAGGTGCCCAGGTTGAAATCTATAGAGTCATCCTTGGTGACTCCTCTCTGTCTCTCACACCCTGTGTCCCATCCATCGGGAAATTTTGGTGGCTCTAACCAGAGACTACCTAGAATCCCACCCCTTCTCACCTCCATGCTAACCACCTGGGCCCAGCAACGATCTCATCTGGAGCTGTGCTTCTCACACCTGAGTGCAGGGAGGAAGCACCTAGGACTTGTGTTATGTGCAGACTCTGACTCAGTGGCTGTGGGTGCGGCCTGAAACTGTGTGCCTGCCCGAGACATCCTCCTGGTTCACTCTCTCTCTTCCTTAAGATGCCTCACCAGGGACACCCCATTTTCTATCCCCCTTGCGCTGATTGATATACTTGTTTGTTTGTTTGTTTGCTTTTCCTGTAACTTTTGAGTAACTCCTTTAACCCAATGTCACACAAGTCAAAAGTAGTGGAACCAGGTTTCAGATACAGACCTCTTACTATTCTTGGAACAGTTGTATCCAAAGCACGAAGAAAATATTTACTGAATATTTGAGAAGACTAAAAGCACTTGTTCCTTTTCTTCCTTCCTAAATAGACCATAGCTGTACTTTTTAAAAAAATATTTTGTTTATTTACTGTTTAGAAAGGGGAAGGGAGGGAAAGAGAGAAAAAGACCAAAGTGTGGTTGCCTCTCGTAAACCCCCTACTAGGGACCTGGCCCACAACCTAGAGAATTGACCCAGTGGCCCTACTGATTAACAAGCCAGTGTCCATCCACTGAGCTACACCAGGCAGGGCCACAGCTGTATTCTTTTGTTAGAGTACACCAAGCTCCCACTCTAAAGTGACACTGTTCTTCCTTCCGCACTTTTCCCCCCAGAATACAAAGGGCTTGGTGAATGATTTCTGTCTTGGAGCTACTACAAAACTATCAAAGCATGCGCCATCAGATGTCTTTATACATTAAAACTCCCTTAGAAACCACAGGACCTGGCTCGTTTCCCTCTCCTGACTCCTCCACTTCCCTTCTCTTCCCAACCATCCAGGAGTGAGCTCACTATGTGGAGTGCGGTCCTAGCTGGCCCCCCGGAGTCGCGGCAGAAGGGGGGCAGCGCTCCTAGGAGGGCATCCCAGGTGAGTGGGGAGCAGGGCCACCTGGCAGCACTGAGTGGGCAAGGGTGTGTGCAGGGCTCCCATGTGGAGCGATGGCTGGTGCGGGGTGTCAGAGCCCGTGCCCCTGGTGGGGAGCCTCCACGTGGGGAAAGGGGGACACCGGGAGTCAGAGCTGGAGCCGGAAGAGGAGGGGGCACCCCTGGAGAATGGGCGGGTGGCAGAGCTGGGACACTGCTTATGCACAGGGGTGAGCAAATAAGTAATGTCTTAAGAGGAATGAAAGCCGGGTTTCCCAGAAAAAGCAGTTACAAATACAGGAAGGAAGAAACCTATTGGTTTTCAATAGGTAGATTTAAATAATGTATATACACACACAGGCACATTCATACATCTATGTGTAAATATTTTTCCTAGTTCTCTCTGCTGAGATGACTTGGAAACATGACACTCCAAAGGTAATGAGTACACCTAGCCCTTGGGTCTTGGCTCTTAAATACCATTTTCCAGCAAATCGAACCAGGGACGCTTGGAGAAATGTCTGATTACTAGGCAGGGTCAGGGGAAATCTGAGATGAACCTGGAGTATCTTGTACCAGAAAGCAAGAAAGTGCTTGGAAATTGAGGAAAGAAGGGCACAAGCACTCGTTTCCACAATTTGATCATCAGTTAGCCACAGATTACCTTGACAGTAACAGATGATAACACAGGATAATAACAGATGGTAACCCATTGCATAACAGGAAATCAGGAGTCCATACAGATAGGTAATACATGAATAATGTGAAGTTTGATAAGAAGTAGGATATCTACATAATTTTATTTTTTAAAATTTTAATTGTTCAAGTACAGTTTTCTGCCTTTTACCCCCATCCCAGCTTACTGCCCCCAGCCCTCCCCAAAATGTTTTATTTATTTTTTAGAAAGAGGAGAAGAGATGGAGAAAGAGAGGGAGAGAAACATTAGTGTGTGGTTACCTCTCACATGCCTCCCACTGGGGACCTGGCCTGCAAACCAGGCATATGCCCTGACTGGGAATCGAACCAGCAACTCTTTGGTTCATAGGCCAGTGCTCAATCCACTGAGCCATGATATCTACAAAGTTTTAAAACATCTCCCCACGCAATGTTGTCCTAGAAAGGAGAAACAAGTAACTATGTGGAAAAATCTGGCAGACTCCACCTTAGTCCATTGATTAAAGTATACATCGCCAAGAATGGAATGAATAAAATGCACTGTGATGAAACACTTCTTTAGTAGACCTGTCAAAATTGCATGATGTAAACGTAACCCTAAGAAGCCACCAGACAAAGCCAGACTGAGGGGCAGTCTGCACAGTAACTAGTCAGTAATCTTCAAAAATGTCCAGGTCGTGAAGGTGCCGGGAATGTTGAGGAACTGTGCCAAAAGGCAGGAGAATGAAATGCAAGGTGGTTCTGAACGAAATCCCCTGGGATGACTGGACAACCGCCAGTGGAGCCTGAGGACCAGTGGAAGAAATACATCGATGGTCTGAGGATATCAATGCTAATTTCCTGATTTTGGTGGTTACATTGTGGTCCTAAGGACAGGAGTTTTATAGGTAGGAGATGCACGCTCTCATATTTGGGGAGTGACAGAGCATCGTGTCAACTTAAAAGTGCTTCAGAGAAAAAAGTGCTTTGTCTTTTTACATTTTTCAGTAATTTTGCAATTGTTAAAAAAGTAATCAAGAGAAAAATGAGCTCAACTGGATCTGACCCTGTAATAAATTACAAGCTCATAATATGAGTATGTATAGTAGGTTGGGGTCAGGGTGTATTATTTTAGAATTAGTTTATACAGATCTAAGCAAAGAGAAATGTCATAAATGTCAGATTTTACCTTAAATAAATGATAGGGGGAAAGATATGCCACATGTCACTTTCACATGTAAAGTTGAAAGTAGGAAGTAGAAGGAATACAACCACCAGAAAAACAAATATATTCTGCTCTTTGTTAGTTAGTCTCTAAAAAGTACTAGGTTAATAATCAGTTGATCAAACACATTATTTTTTCCTTTGCACATGTTTTTGTAATGAAATGCCAAATGTCACCAGGTCAGCTCCTATGACGTGGAGAGAAAGCCTGAGGAGGTGGCACCTGGGGGCTGCCCTGCACCCGCACTCGTCTCAGGTGCTCCTGGCTCCTGGCTCCCTCACAGGCAGGTGCCGCTTCTCCCTGACAGTGTGCCTGCTGGGTCCATCCTAAAGTCCATCTTGAAACAAAGATCTTAGCACTGCAGACCTTCTTTAGGGCCATTTCATCTCAAACTTCTTCTCAAACCAGAAAGAAAGATTTTCTTTTAATTTTAATTTTTAAGCATTTCCACCAATTCCATCTAAAAACTGCTACTTCTTTCACAGTAACATGTTAGTGGGTCACGTGGACCCAGATTCCAGGGCTCAGTGGCATCTTCCTGCTCTGAAGTAGTGTCAGGTATAAAAGGCCACTTAGTTTTTAAACCACGAATGAAGCTTTATGTCCACAGTTTGGGCCTCATCTTGCTGCCCTGAATCTGGGACTGATGGTCATTGGAGGACACCATCCTGCACTGCACTCCAGGCATGTGTCCCTGTTGCAGCGATCACACTGCTTCCCAGGAGCTGTCCACAGAAGAGACAGTGTGGCTGCCCCAAAATCACATGTTCTCTTGCAGGGAGCACTACACGATGCTCTCTGGAGTGCAAGCCGCATGGTGTCCATTTAATTTCGAATGCAGTGTGTTGTCCTTCCTTTTCGTTTTCACTTCTGTGTACAGCTGTGTGATATAGTCCGTGCAGCTCCTAGAACGAGACGCTGAAGGAGAAACATGTCGAAGGTGAGAATTTATTTTGAACAACATGGCGCTCCTTTATTTGAAACGCTGAACACAGTATTTTCAGGCCCATATGTCAAAGTTTTAAATATTGTATCTGATATTCATGGATGCATATAAATGATCTGAATGCATTGTGATAGTCTAACTTTTTTCCCAAGATTTTATGTATTTATTTTTAGAGAGAGGGGAAGGGAGGGAGAGAGAGGGAGAGAAACATAATGTGAGAGACACACAGCCATCGGTTGCCTCTCACATCCTCCCCTACAGAGACCAAATCCCCAACCTAGGCATGTGGCCTTGACCAAAACCTAACCAGAGACCCTTCACCTTGCAGGATGGTGCCCAACAACATGAGCCACACCAGTCAGGGCTACAGTGTAACTTTTAAAAAGTCTTGTTAAATAAAAAAACATACAAACATAAAATGTGTAGACATTTCTGCTATAAAATCACATGGGTTGCTAGGGAACAAATACATTGTCTTCAGCAAAATTGCATACTGTGATAGCAGGGTTTATGGGAAAAAATCCCACTGGGGTGGACCGCTCCAAGCCCTGTGACTCTGTTCCCAGACTGAGTGGTGCCAGGGCACATCTCGTAAGAGGCAAAACCAAATACAGTTGAAATGCTGGGAGAGCAGGAGGGCACACACAGATATGGGAGCCCAGAGGAAAGGGGGCCTCTACCAAGGTCCCCCGGGTGGGGTGGGCCTGCCCCCAGGGATGGGCCTTTCTGGGGAGCGAGGCCTGCCTGCAGGTGCTCATTTTAAGTTGTCTTAAGTTGGAACTGCAAGGGCTTCTGCTTGTCTAGCGGCTGAGCTGAGGGCTGTTCTTTTCCTGCCAAAGGTTGTAATCCTACTGTAATCCTACTGTTTGGGTTTGCCTTGCTGAGGAAAATGGACCCAGGATGCAACACCACTTTCACAGTGTATTGACATCATTCTCCCACTTGCCAGATGAAGAGATTGTTGTAATGGAAATGTGGGTGACAACACAACAAACAGTACGTAGCTCACACACGTTTTCTCCTTCTGCCCTCAGTTCTCACACAGTCCACTCCCTGCTCCCCTCTCCCTGCTAGTTCAGCCATTTCTTTCCATTTCACACCCTACTAGGTCAAAACAAAACAAAGGCAGTGTTGTTGTAAAAGACGCACTTCTTAACAAAAACCTCAGTAAAATCCACAGAAACTAGCTGCAAAGTTCACTGCATTTCTTACAGCTCTTGGCAAGTAGAACAAGTTAATTTGCATGGAGGAAACAAAATGGTTGGAAGGTATAAGATTCTTCCTTTACATCTACTTCTGTCTGTTGGATCTTTGTCAAGAATTATCTTTCTCTCCCCCTGGCTTTCCTGTTAGACTCTTTTTAAAAAGTTTTCTTTACATAAATTTTTTCTTTGCTTGAGAAATTGCAATGAAATCATCCAAAAACTGACACATTTCTGCTTGAATTAATTGAGCCTTATATTCATTTACTCAGTACAAATTAAGCAGACACTTCACTTGTACCCAGCTCTGTGCTGGGATCTGGGGTCCACACAGAGCAAACTCAATTATTTGCCACCTAAAGGCGAATTGTTGCAGCTGAACCAATACACCCAAAATGACAATGTGGCATAGAAGTGCCTCATGGGTAAGGATGTATGTGTGGCACTCTGGAGCATGGGAGGACACACAGTCCAGAGCTATGCCTGTGTGTGTCAGTGAGGCCTTGGGGGTGGCTTCGGAAAGCATCAGCTACTTGAACTTAACCACTGCTTTTCAATGTTAAAGATACACCCCTCCTTAAAACCTAATCTTAAGTCCATCTTAATCACAACATGATTTATGCAGCTGACTTTCGACAGCTAAAACTCCAATTTTTATCTTTACCCTCCCCCTTAAAGATAAATCAATGAAGCTTATTTTTCAAATCTCAGGTCACCTGGTTGACTTACTGTGTCCATTTTTCTCTTGGGATGATGTTTCTTCATTATTTGATCTTGATCTATAACTTTCTAGAGTGTGTTCTGAAATTTCATTTTCTGTAATAAAAAGCTAAGTTAGTAATTTCAGGTGCCACAGATATCATCTCCATATAGAAAGGCATGTTTGAATAATATGATACATTTGTTTTTATACCACAGTGGACTTATCATTCTCCCTCCCCTACCTTATGTCTTCATTCATTCAACAAATCCCTTTTCACTCTTTACTGTGAGTCCTACAGGTACACACTAGGCAGTATAAGAATTGCAGAAGGACAGTAATGAGAATCAAATAGTGTCCTCTGGAAAGGAGAATTTCAATAGCCCTTAAAGAACTCTGGGGATGAAGCATTGGTGGGAGATTTGGAAGCCACACTATGGCATTTCCTGTTGTGCAGGTGCACTGGAAAGTCAGACCCTGTTTCTGAGTCTACTTATCATGAGAATCCTAGTCCTTCTGAACATCTAGAGAGACCGATGACAAACTCCAAGGAGCGGTACTTGTAAGAGGGTCAGAGCTATTCAAGGATGTAATATTTCGCCTTGAGACACCACAAGGTGTCTGTCAGTAGAGGTGCTGGAGCCGTATGAGGCTGAGTCAGCCCTGCCTGAGCACATTACAATGCAAGGCACACATATAACTCTAACTTTCCCAGCAGCTGCACTCAAAGAGTAAAACAAAGCAGGTGAGATTAGTTAGTAATATGTTTCATTTAACTAGTAGACCCCATATATTATTATATCATGGTTTTGTCTTCATGTGTGCATGTGTGTGTACTGAGTCTTCAGAATCGGGTGTGTCTATTGTCCTTACAGCTAGATTGTGGCTACTGTGTTGGCTGCATAGGGCTAAATAACCACTCCAAATTAAAGAGGGGACTTAATGCTGACACATATTTATGGAACAAAGTAAGTAGATGGGTTATTCTGGATAGCTTCTAAGGTCCCTTCTAGCTCTGATGAATGTTGAGTCTATGTATTTTAATAGGTATTTTCTATGCTAGTTATATATTTCTGTTTCCAACAATAACTTTTTAATTGGTATGCTTAGGAAAAAATTACACATTACGGTCAAGGGAAACTGAGTGTGTTTTTTTGAAAAAATGATACTGAAATGGTCTATTATGTTGGACCTTTGATGGACCACTCCTAGAATTAGAACTTTGACAGAGGCGCCTGGTCTGAATATGAGACAATCAGAGCCCTGGGGCCTGGGACAAGGCAGATGCAGAACAAGGGCTTGGTGAATGCACGTCAGATGGATGGATGGATGGATGGATGGATGGACAGAGGGGGGGAGCTCTCTATTTTGGATCCTTTTGTGAATATAAGTTTCTGTAACATGACTCCAGTTCCTGGAGCTGCTCTAGTTTCTCTTGGCCTTGCACTCTTTCCCTATAGTCCCTGGAGATTCACACCCTTGTCTACCATAAAGCAAAGGCTGCTTATTTGAGGGACCACACTTAGCAAATGGATTTGTGCATCAACTAACAGAAGAGCTTTAGTGGACAGAATTTCCTCTTTGCTTGCCATTGGGTCCACATCTTGCAGCCTCTACCATCAGATTCTCTGCCTGCTCACCTTTTTTCCATGTCACGTGTGCTTTCCGAAGCTTCATGATAAAGAGCTGGACAATGATGAAGAGTATAAAAAGAAGGAAGGACATAAGCGAGAGCAGCAGTATGCCACTTTTCTTCTTCATCAACGCTTGATACCGAGGACTTGCGCCTATGAGGAAAATGAAAGGAGTTCAGACAGTTTGAGGGGTTTTCTCTGCTCACCGAGGAGTGTACCCAACACTTCCAGAATACAGTGCAGGCTAACAGCCAGCCAGGATGAAGAGATGAACAAGAGCTTCACCCAGAAGGTAGAGTCATACTATTTAGTCTCTGAAAACAAGAATACAAAGATATTTTGTGGGATGATTTGAAAAAGGGTTTTAAGTATTATAGACATTGAATGTTATTTTTCATTTATGAAGAAAGTGTGTGAGAATATTGACTTAAATTATAGTCAGGGGGTTCAAAGCTGTAAGGAGTAATTTTTTTTTTAGCAAAGTGTTGTTTAGCAGAAGAGGTTGTTAAGAAGTTTGAAACACTATACAAATAAAATGAATATCTATTGATCTTGGCCAGGTTAAATGTGGTCTCACATGAAGGCTTTGGAAATAGACTAGTTGAAGCCCTGAAGGTCTTTCTGAACCCAGACTTCCGCAGGTGGACCTCTCGGGTGATTCCACAGATTCTAGCTTTACTAACTGTGCTGGTTCCCTCACTTCAACTGCAAGTAATCGAGGGGATCCAGCTGTGTGTGGACATCAGACGTGGAGCTGAAAATGACATGACCCCTGTTGTTTGGGGACCGTTCTCTCCATGTATAAACAAATAGAGGAATACAAATGAACAGAAGATATCTATGCCTAATTTTAGATCCACATTGTTATAGACATAAATTTTATGTACTACTGTAAAGACACAAATTGTGTCTTTGTTAATGACACAAGTTTTGTGTCTTAATCTAACAGTGTATTCAGGGATTCAGAGGCAGGAGTGGCCCAAGTTTGTCAGGAAACTGTCCTGTGAAGATACTGAATTGAAAAGGGGTAAGAAGAAGGCTGAAGAGGACTTTCTTTTCATTAGTGCCAGTTAGGCTAAATGAGGGCAAGGCAATTAAAATGAGATGACATTTATAGAAAGAGGTATTCTCATCAGGATGTGAGAGGTGGAATGGCAGAGGGAGGTGGCAGAGTGCACCTTAAGGGGGGGGTTAGACTCATGCTCTGCATCGTAGACCAGGGGAAGCCACCGAGGTGTTCTGAACACCGGTGTTGAGAGGGATGTCTGGATAGTAAGGTGCTAGAAAGGACTCCGAAAGGAGAAACAGAAGTTACAGTACCACACACAGCAGATGACGAGGGTCTGGATCAGGGTGGTGGTGGCTGAGAGTGGACAAACACCTGAAAGCAAAGACTCAAAAGTCCTTGGAAGCTGAATGACCTCACATGTTTGTGTGTGTGCACACACATATGCACAGACAGTAGTGAAGGATGACACCGAGGTTCGGGCCTGCTTTAGACAGGCTGGTTTTGTGGGAAAAGATGCTGTTCAGTTTTAGCAATGTTGAATTTGAGCAGACAACAGAAAATTCAGCTATCGATATGTAGAAAATGGAATGAAACAGGGACTAATGCTCAAGAGAATGTTCTGGAAATACAGATATAAAATTTATGGCCTGGTGGCAGTAGGAGCAGTACTGGGAATGGGTGCCCACTTTAAGAATTCAGGAAAAAGCACTTTATTCTGAGCTTCTGGCCAAGATGGAAGCATAGGTAGATATATTTGCCTCCTCACACAACCAAAAGAAGGACAAAAACAAATTTAAAAACGAAAAATAAGCAGAACTGCCAGAAAATCAAACTACATGGAAGTCCAACAACCAAGGAGTTAAAGAAGAAATATTCATCCAGACTGGCAGGAGGGGCAGAGACGGGTAGCCAAGGAGGAGAGGACTCGAGACACAGTGGTGGCTAGAGGGCCCGGGTGAAGAGCGGGCAGTTGGCAGACTGGGCAGGGCACCAGCTAGTGAACCAGGCAGTTCCACATTTGCATGTGGATAAACTGGGTGGAACAAGTAGGGAGCCAGTCAGACCTCACAAACCAGGGGTCCAGCACAAGGAAAGAAACCCTCAAATCCTCTGACTGTAAAAACTTGTGGGGGTTGCGGTAGCAGTTCAAACTCCTAGCTTCACAGGAGAGTTTGTTGGAGAGACCCACAGGGTCCTAGAATGTACAGAAACCCACCCACGTGGGAATAAGCACCAGAAAGGTCCAATTTGCTTGTGGGAAGTGAAGGAGGTGACTGAAATACAGCCAAGAGCCAAGCAAGAGGCTTTGTTCCCTCTCAGACCCTGCTACCACATACAGCACCACAACACACCAAAGTGGGTTGCCTCGCCCTGGTGAATACCTAAGGCTCCACCTCTTCCTACATATCAGGGTCACTGAGACAAAAAACTATGGCCCAAATGAAAGAACAGATCAAAGCACCAAAAATAGAACTAAGCAATGAAGAGATAGCCAACCTATCAAATTCAGAGTTCAAATCACTGGTACTTGGGATGCTCACAGAAATGGTTGAATATGGTTGCAAAATAGAGAAAAAAGTGAAGGCTATGTAAAGTGAAATAAAGGAAAATGTACAGGGAACCAACAGTGAAGGGAAGGAAACCAGGACTCAAATCAAAGTAGCAGAACAGAATGAAGAAACAAGAACTCAACAAAATGATAAGAGGCTTAGGAACCTCTGGGACAACTTAAAAGGTTCCAACATCTGAATCCTCGGGGTGCCAGAAGGAGAAGGGGAAGAACAAGAAATTGAAAACTTATTTGAAAAAATAATAAAGGAGAACTTCCCTAATCTGACAAAGGAAATAGACTTCCAGGAAGTCCAAGAAGCAAAGAGAGTCCCAAAGAAGTTGGACCCAAGGAAGCACATACCAAAACACATGATAATTACATTACCCAAGATTAAAGATAAGGAGAGAATCCTAAAAGCAGCAAGAGAAAAGGAGAGCATTACCTATAAAGGAATTCCCATAAGACTATCAGCGGATTTCCCAAAAGAAACCTTGCAGTCATTAGAAGGGGCTGGAAAGATGTATTCCCAAGTTATGAAAAGTAAAGGCCAAAATCCAAGATGACTCTGTCCAGCAAAGCTTTCATTTAGAATGGAAGGGCAGATAAAGTGCTTCCCAGATAAGGTCAAGTTAAAGGAGTTCATCATCACCAAACCCTTATTATATGAAATGTTAAAGGGACTTATCTAAGAAAAAGAAGCTGATCAAGAATATGAATAGTAAAATGACAACAAACTCACAACTATCAACAACCAGACCTAAAAAAACAAAAACAAAAACAAACTAAGCAAACAACTAGAACAGGAAGAGAATCATAGAAATGGAGATCACATGGAGGGATAGCAGCAGGTAGATGGAGGGGAGAGAATGTGGGAAAAGGTACAGAGAATAAGAAGCATAAATGATAGGTACAAAATAGACAGGGGGAAGTTAGGAATAATATAGGGAATGGAGAAGCCGAACAACTTATCTGTATGACCCATGGGCATGAACTAAGGAGGGAGGGAATGATGGAGGGGGTGTGCAGGGCAGAGGGGAATAAAGGGGAAAAAATGGGACAACTGTAAGAGCATAATCAAGAAAATACATTTTTAAAAAAGAATTCAGGAAAGAACCAATGACAGGGATGTCCAGTTAGAAGCACATGTATATATTAGCAGTGCGAGGAGGAAGGGAAGTTTGCTCATGGACACAGAGAAAATCATAGGACTGGCAGTGTGTCACGGAAACCAGCAGGCAACTAAGTCACAGAACAAGGGAGTGATCAACCAGCAGAAGGGTCAAGAAAATGAGGACTGAAAAACACTATTGGACTCATGAGAGCTGAAAATGTCAAGTGTTTACTCTACAATACAGTGGGGGACACTCACCAGTGGTCAGGTCAGGGTCTTGAGTGGTTTGTTCTTCTTCTTCCTTGTCAGTCTCCAATGTCCTCAAATCTTCCATCACTGCAAGTAAGATCAAAGAAACATGTGATCTGCACACCAGTGTGTGTGAACTATGTGTGTGCACGCAGAATCACCCAAAGCAGCAAAGGGGTGTGGAAACCAAACTAAGTGATCCTCACTGGAAAACAACAAGGTCCTTTTGGAACTTCTGACTTCTTCCAAAATTAGTTACAAATGGTCTGGCTTACCTGCCTCATTCTTTAAGGTAAAGGTATATTGAGCATTTACTCTGTTCCAGGCTTTAAACATTTGGAATATGTTAATTCTCACCACAGCTCTGAGCAAACAGAGTTCGGAGATGTTAAGTAAATTGTCTAAAGTCCTGCTGCAAATCAGTGGCCGAGCCAAGTAGCTCAGAACCCAAAATTAAAACTACCGTTTTGTGCTTTTTTCCTGAATCAGGCCTCTGAGTGAGAAGGTCCTCAGGGGGCTTCCAGACAACAACTGAAGAGCTAGGAATGGCATCCCAAGCCTTATGGGAGGAAAATCTACAGCCTGGAATGCACAAAGCAATGATCTTTATGTTGAAAAGAAGGCTCAGTTGTCATTCAAACCTACGCTTGCCCCCTCCCACCCTGCCCCAGAAGTGGAATCCACCAAGATGTCTTTGTTAGGTAAGAAAAATTATAAAAATCACAAAAATCTTTTCTGATTTTGTTGTTTTTCCTCCACATTTTTTTCTGTTGCAGTCTCTTTCCACTTAGCCCATACACAAGGGCAATTAAACTCTTGATGGGAGAAGCCTGATTCTTCCAGCTGAAGCAGGTAAAGAATTATAGATCCGCAAATCTATTAGTGCGCAATCTATTTATTAGTGATCTGTTCCCATGGAGGAAAACGGGACTAGCTAAAGTTGGGGTTGAAAGGCAAAGTTTCAGGGCAATGCAGGGTGGCAAAAGTTAAGAGCAGCTGAAGACCAGGGTGGCAAGCCCCCAGGGTGGCCAGAGGCCCAGTGGCCCAAGAGCAGAGAGGGGGCGGGGTTTGTTCTGAGGACTTATATGGTTGTCTGGATAGGAGAAAACAGGTACATAAGTTACATATTAATTAACGGTTAAATATGGTGCCAGCTGTCCTGGGGGGATGTTACTACCCAAACTGAGGTATGTGTGGGGGTCCGTTAGCCTGAATCCTTATCTTGCTCAAGCCCCCATTTGCTCATCTTGTTATAAAACAAATACATGACAGGAGGCAGTCCATTAAAATTGGGGCTCTTTCCGATGTTATTTATTAGCTACTTCTTTGGGCACCATGGACCCTCTCCTGCATTCCAGGCCTTGGGATAAAAGCACAGTTTCAAGGTTTTCTTTCCCAGATAGTGGATATACTACATAGAATTTCAAGGACTTCCCTTCCTTCTTGCTAACGTAGAGTTTCTTGTGGAGTTGGAACACCTGGCAGTATTATCAGACCAGGCTCAGGACTGAGTTAGCGCGTGAGACACGTCTCCTTCCTCCTCCCTGCCTCGGTTTACTATTCATTGTGTCTAACTGCTAACGGTGTTTCCTGGCAACCAGCGTGCTAGGTGCTGGCCAGTGACGGCAGTGCAGTCTCAGAGTTCCTTCTGTGCTGTCCCCTGCCTCAAAACCAGCCACCCTCTACTGAAAATGGGCTCAATTGATGGCAATAAAATTGTAGGAATTAAAGGTGAAAGGAATTTTAGAAACCATATTTTAAAAACCTTATGTTATATATGAAAAAGCAGAGATAATTGAGTTGCTTAGTAGTGGTATTAGCCAATTTAAAGACAACTAGAGCTTAAACATTTGTAAAAATATTGGATTATTAAAACAAGTAGTGTGGCTATTTCACTTCACAGTATTTTCAACTTCCACTGTCTTTCAAAAAAAGTGTATTGTACATATTATATTTATCAGTTTTTAAAACCTCCAGACATTTACTTTTAAATACTGTTCAAGATAAAGAATGTTAAGTGTGATCTGATACTCAGAACGGTGAACGTGGCAATGACGTGAAAGCCCCTATCTCACCAAATCGAGTCGTCCCAGGCCCATCTGAGACAGAGCAAGGACTGTTAGGGTTCCTGGCTTCCCGGCCGGGCCGACAGGCCATGCCCAGCCCCCCACGACTGCCTGCACCCACCCACGTGTTCGTTCATCCACAGGGCATTTTCCGAGTGCTGCAGGTGCCAGGGACTGTGCTGGGTGAAATACAAATATAAGTGAAATATAGATCATTGTCCAGAGTTAACCATTAGTGGGTTTGCTGTCTAAAAAACTGGGATTCGCCCTGGCTGGTGTAGCTCAGTGGATTGAGCGCGGGCCTGCGAACCACACGATCGCGGTTCGATTCCCAGTCAGGGCACATGCCTGGGTTGCAGGCCGGTTCCCTGCAGGCCAGTTCCCAGCAGGGGACGCACAAAAGGCAACCATACATTGATGTTTCTCTCCCTCTCTCCTTCCCCCACTTCCCCTCTGAAGATAAATAAATAATTAAAAAAAAATTCTAAAAAAAAATAAAAAATAAAATAAAAAACTGGGATTATAATCTAGGCTTTCTAAATTTTTCTGCATTTATAGTTCAATGCTGTCATCGAGAGCTGACTGAGTTCTTACAACCAAGTAACTGATGAAACTTCAAAGGTAAATTTGTTTCTCAAAGGTGAGGACAAAACACCAAATCTCCAGGCCCTGCTTCTCTGCTCTTTGTTGACATGAAGTCTTTATTTTGTGTTTGGTCTATTCTAGATGGACAAACAAAGAAAGAAGTCTCCCCATCAGTGCATTCTACCTGGCCCTTTACCACAATGCAAATGCCAATGTCACCATCGTGTGTGTGCAGGTGTGTGTCTGACAGGGAAATGCCAATGTCACCATTGTATGCGTGTGTGCATGTGTGTGTGTGTGTGTGTGTGAGAGGGGCAGGGTGTTAGTTACTCGTGAACACACTGGATAGTTAACTATGGCACTCGTCCGGCTCACCACAAAGCTGGAGGGAGTCCTGCATGGATGGTCTTGGCACAAATTAAAAGGAAAAGTGTTCTTAAAACTTAGAATTGGAAAACCGACTTCCCAGAGAGGTATGGTTTTTTTCAGGTTTTAATGGTTTTGCCACTTACCGGTACTAGTGGACTGCCAAGGGTCTTGAGAGGGGAGAGGGCTGTTCTCCAGGACACCTGAAGCTAGCTTTTGAGTAGTAACTAGAAAAGGGGAAAAACAAAATTTTGCAATTACAGAGGAGAACGTTGCCCACATCGTGCTCAGTACTACAGGCTGGAGAATGGACTTGGCTGCTACCCACTTGTGGAGGCTTTGCAGAAACCTCCGCACTACGCGCTCTGGGGCTCAGCTGCTCCGCGGGCCGGCCTCCCGCTGACGGCCCACCTGCGGAGCTGCCTGGCTTGGATGCACAGCGTGTGGGGCCTCTGTGGAGTGGCGGTGGCACGTCCGGCAGTCCTCAGCCAGCGGTAGTCACTGCCTCTACTGCCTTGACCTGTCCATCCATCTGTCTGTCAGTCTGTCACCCACTGACATGTTTAACTACTGTAAGTGTCATGTGGCTTTGGAGTCAGGCTCAGAATGGGTTGAAGTCCAGTGCTGTTACCTGCTTTCTGATGAGTGAGTTTGAACAAGATGCCTACTCTTGCTGAAGCTCATTCATTTTTAATGCCTGTAATATGAAGGTACTAACAACACTTACCTCTTGGAGTTTTATGTGAAAATTAATGTGTTCATTCATACAACATGTTTAGCCCAATGCTCAGCTATTTAGTAAGCACGATGCTTACTAAATGTTATTGGGCGACAGAAAACCAGACTTGGAAATGTTCCCAGAGGTTCAGCTCAGCACAGACATGAGCAGTCTGTGTAGGACCAGGCTTGTGACCAAGAAGCATGTAAAGAAGGTGCCTGCTGAGTTGCAGATATTGTGGCTGATAAGTGACAGTGGGTGATGTCTTTACAAAATCAATGAGTTCTTCACAGCTTTTTATGTAATCAAAGAGTTTCTGCAGTCTTAAATTTACTGTCCTAGTCAAGCATTACTCTTTTAAATATAAAAAAGTCCGAACTGCACACAGGAGCCCTGAGAAAGGAAGAGAAACCAGCAAGGAAACATTAGGGAAACAGTAAAGTAGGTGGTAAACGAACATGAACTCTGTCACCGCAAAGCCGCCCGAGAGGACTGAAGGAAGGAGGGTTTCCAGAAAAAAAGAGAGGAACGTGCTCAAAAGTGAATCCAATAGAAGTACTAGTGCTAAAAGCGAGTGACAAGAAGAGCATAATATTACAAGTATTGGAGACAAATAGAAAGATCCTCCAGAATAATGCATACTGTGTAAATTTAGATAATTATATATTTATGGACAAGTTATATATATAATTACATTATACATCCAACAACATGTATAAGGTATGTATATGTAAACCATGTATGCATACATATACAATATATTTTATAATACATTTTGTTATACTGTATATTTTAATATGTTTTATATAAAAGTGAGTGTGTGTGTGTGTATATATATATATATAAACTAGAGTTTGTATTTACTCTGACCCGTCCTCTGCATTGGCAAGCTGCTGGACAGACACATTAGACTGCCATTTTGATTAGGTGGACGCTGGAGCACTATGATTTATTTATCTTTCTAGTTGGTCAAAATAGTACGGCTCTCTGCTATCCAATTCAGTGTCCACTGGCTACAACGACCACTTAAAGTTAGTAAGTATTAAATATTTGTTAATATTATAAATATTAAATAATGTTAAAATTTAGTTCCACCATTGCTCAACTTTTTGTTTGTATTACCTCTTCAAATAAGTAATAGGAAATCAAGACTCCTGGTGTGGACAAGGAAGCAAAATCTAACCAGAGACAGTGAAATTAAGAACAAACTGACAGTAACCAGAGGGGAGGTGGGGGGGTAATGGGGGAGGGGGGTTTTCAGGGACGTGGATGAAGGACACATGGACAGAACCAAAGATGGGTGGGGTCGAGAGTGGGGATGGCTGGGGTGGGGGAGAGTACTAGGGAGGAAATAGAGACAACTGCACTTGAACAACAATTTTTTAAAAAGGTAAAAACAAAAGACTCCCAGTTTGGAACACAAAAACTTTGCAGTCCACGCAGCGCATCTCCTTCCAGGCCCCCCAGGTGCGGTGCCCAGGTTATTGGCCTTCTTGTTTAAGAACCAGAATGTCCTTCAGAAGCACCAGATAAGAAAAGTCTCCTTTTCTCCTTGGTGATCCTGCTGTGTCCCCTGCGTGCCCTGTGAGCCCTTCCTCTGGTGGGGGTGAGGCTGGGAGACCTGAACCCTATCGAGGCAGGGATGTTCACGTCGGACCACACCCAGACCCAGCTCTGGGTCTGCAAGCTTCTGCCTGCAGCTGCCCCAGGAACTGCTTTGGTCAGGAGAAGGGGAGCCTTGGAAAGCACGAGGCAGAGACGCAGGACTGCACAGGGTCTGGCAGCAGTAACACCTGCCCGAGTGTGGTCGATAGGGAAACAGTATGGGTGTAACAATTTATAGTTTTAATTTGAACACTTCACCTAAAATGTCACATGGTATGCTTGAGTGTGATATTCTTATGTTACAGAATTGCATGCTTATGATTTTGTAATGAACGATTCTGTAATAAAAAGTGGAGTTATTGGTGCTGGCCCCTGTGTAACCAGAGCAGGAAAGCCTGTGGCAGAGAGAGGGGACTGTCAACCAGAGCACAGCAGCCCAGGCAGCCCAGCCGGTGGTTCTCGGGAGTAGATGCCTTTCGCGATCAGTTACTCCATTTGATTGGAGCCCTTCCAGCAGGCGCTCCTTCACTAGGGTGAGGGAGTCCTGCACTTCGGGAGTTCACAACAGATGTGGGGGACACACTACTCAAAGAGTGAGAAGCATGGGAGGCTTATTGGCTCGAAAGGTTTTATGCGGTTTAAAAATTATTTCTTTCACTTATGGTGAAAGAATCAGAGAATGGGGATTCTGAAAATGGAAGCAACTTCACATTTAATATTTGATGTTTTGTTCATTTTTATTATTTTGTGTTTTGCTCAGATTATTAGCATAGTTAAACTATTGTAAAATCTTCAAAACAGTTTTAACGAGATCTGAAGAATAATCATGACCTAATGTCACAGAGGGAGTGCTTTATGTTAACATAAAATGATCTAGACAAGTTTAGTTAATATGACCCTCTTTTTGGTCAGATATAAAGATCATATTGCTGCACATGATCTCTCCAAAAACAAGACTGCAGTAAAACGATGGAAGGTCAACTTCCGCTAGCTGTCACTCTCAAAAAGCAGGCGTGACACCGTCCGCACAGAACACCGGGCTGGGCCCCCTGCGCAGCTGGGCTGCTTCTGCTGGAATAGTTGCAACCCCGTCGCCCAGCTGGAGAAGTGTGGATCCTTGAAAGAATCTGCTATTAGGGAGAGCTTTGCTGACAGTAATTTCACTCTGAAAGATTCCCCCCCCCATTTAATTTTGTGTGATAGTATGATACTGAGGTAAATTTAAAATGAGTATGGATGTCATCAGCTCTTCTTACCCAAATCTTCAAACCGGGAAGATGCTACCAGCCTCCGGCCTTGGAGGCCTGGGTGTCGGACGATGCAGTTCACCGTGGAGTCTGGGCCGTATGCTCGGACTCGGAGTGTGCTGCTGCTGTTATACTTCCCGTCCGCGTCACATCGATGAGAGGTTTCACCTGGGGGGCAATCGAAGGCGGTGGATGAGGCCGTGGCTACTGGATGTGATCAGATGGGTTTGGTTCTTCAAAAACCGAGGATCTTGACACCGTGGCAAACCTGTTCAAATTCTAACCTCATCCTGACTGCAGACCCCTGCATGGTGTGCACTTGGCCCTTGTGACAAAGGGAAGTAGGGGAACAGCATGGACAGGTTTCTGTAAACCCTTTGCAACTGAGACAATCCAAAGCTTGTAACAGTATATCAGAAGGACAGCCTGACGCTGTTGTGAAACAGCACAGGTCACTCTGACTTAATAAATAAGGCAAATTAAAGGGAGATCTTTAATGCTGTAGCCTTGGCCCTGGATGAGAACCAGATCTGGGTTTTAGGTGGTTTCTGTCTAAATTCCATTTGACCCTTGGTTTCCTCAACAACAAAGAATTCCTTCTAACTCTCAGGACCAATGATTATGTAAAATCAAATGTAATGTTTGTTGAAATATGAACGAATTATAGTTTCCAAGCATGACAAGTTAGTTCTCTGCTTCAATCAAAATGTTCAGATTCTTTGTTACCATAATATCTGTATTTTTCATTGAGGGCATGACATGGTACTGCACTATATAAGAAAGATCATGTATAATGTTAAATATATTTTCAATTTTAACCTACTAAAAAGTTTATGCTCAGAGGTAATAGCCTCTGATTTTATTTCATAAAACCTTGTCAGACTTAAAGGTGCTAAAATAAATGTTACATTTTAGGGTTCTACTATGTTATAAGCAAAACATGTAATCATGTTATTTGCAATGAGCCTTTCAAGATTGAAATATAATATTGATTGACCATAAAGATAATTTGTCTGGAAAAGGACAGATGAATTACTGAATGGTGTTGTCCGGCACCTACTGCCACCAGAGGGCGACAGAACACAGAACAATCCCTTGGAAATGGAGGAAGGAAAACAAAGGAGGTGAGAACCCTTTCTCCACTCACCATAGAGCTCTACGCCACTCCCTAGGTGCCAGGTTATCTGCGGAGGCGGCTTACTTCTAGTGGTGGAGCAGTTAAGTATAACATATTCTTCTCTGTTTTGCGTTCTGAGGACTGATGCTTCCAGGGTTGACTCGAAAGGCGTTGCTAGAAAAAAGTGGATTTTTGTGCTCACTCAGCTGGTCTACACATCCCAGCAAAGCACAGAGCCTAGGACTCTGCAGGGGTCATTGTAGGGAGTGGTCTAAATTACCAGCATGTTTTCCCCTGATTTTCCCAGAACGTAGTTGAAGGGCTGTTATATATCTGTAAAGCTACTTCTGCTACAGTGAGAATGTTTGTTACTTAGTACGTGATTAGTCACTGAAAATTCCCAAACTGACTGTGACAAAAGCACTTTTCACATTTGATATATCACTGTGTATTATTGGTTGAACACTAGGTGAGGAATAGGAACTTGAATCATAGCTGCACCATTGTCACCAACCAGTTGTAAGAATGTGGGTTTATCGCTCCCTTGTCTGTGACATGAAGAAATTGTCTTATGAGTTTATTAGCTCTAAACTTTCCTGGGTCTGTGACTCACTGAGAGGAAAGTTACTTCTGTCTTCTCCCAGCATCAAAGGCACATCTGTCTTATAAAGGGTTCGTTGACCACCCCCCTTCCTGCTCCTGTGTTGGGAACACTCTGTAGTTAGACACTGTGTTCCTCCCCATTTCTCTTCTCACTGCGGCCCAGACCTGCACTCTTCCACATTTATGTGCTTATCCACCTGCCTTGGAGAGACCTTGTAAAGCCAGCTCCAAGTATGCACAAGGTGTATCAAATGCTGGCAATAGAAGTATGGAAAGGAAAAGGCCCTTTAAGGAACTAACAGTCTGGTGATAGACTTGGGCTCTAACCTGTTCATTGAAAGCTCGTGTGTTGAAGTGAGTGACAGAGGTGCGCATGTGCATGGGTGCTATGATTGCTCAGAAGGGCATGCAGCCAGCCTGCACCAGAGTGCTCTTGGGGATGGCCAGAAGGCTGGAAAAAGACAGCCCCTGAGCTCAGTGACGCTGGTTCCCGACCACCCCCCAGGACCCCCTCCTTTCCTGACACTTTTCACCATGCCATTACTTTGTGGAAGGCACCACACTGCACTACAATAAGAGAAATTTAAGGAATTCATGTGTGTGATATGTGGAATTATGTTTTTAATTGAGCTGTTCTGCCACAAAAAATAAAGCAAAAATATAAAGATAGTAAGACTTGAGCTGAAGCAAACTGACCATATCTACAGAATTGAGCAAGATCCAGTCAATCAGAAGGCTGCCACTCCCTCCCTGCATCTCCCACCCCACCCCCATTCCCAACGGAGGTGAGGAAACTGCTTTGGCAGAGGATGTGAGCTGATTGTCTAGTGCAGTCAGACCTGAACTCATCCGTCTCAGGATGTGCTGTCCTAATGTTCTACTTTATTCACATACCTGTTTTGACTTCCTAGGCTAGTACGAGACCTCCTTATGGGCAGAGACTGTGCCTTGGTCACCTGGATTCTCTAGAGCCTCATGCAGTGCCTGGCACATAGTCCCAGGTCATCAAATGGGAATTCTCTTTTCTCGGTTCCTCGAAGAGAAAATTTACTTGATGCCAAAGATGAATTTCACGAATTCACATTTTATTCTAGGGCCTGCAACTCAAAACACTCCTTTCTGTTTCCTTTCAACAAAAGATGGCAGAGTTTGCTGGAGGTCACATTTGTAAACTAAAATGTTAAGTTTACAGTGATATCTCAGGTTCCGGGTGCGCTGGCTTTGAGGCCCTTACCCAGCACGATCACTTTCACTTCCTTTGTTCTCACGGAGTCGCCGTACTGTAAACACTTGTACGTGCCTTCGTCTTGTGGGGTTGCATTCTGCAGGCTGATGGAGAGCTGGTTGGAGGAGTGACGAAGAAGCTGGTATTTGGTGTTTTTTAAAGCTGTACGGGGTGGAGGGAAGAACTGTTATGAAAAAGCTATCAGATGGATGCAGACTCTCAGTGGGGTGACTACTTTCAGGAGCAGCTCTTGAATTTCACACGTTAAAGGAACACGTACCATGCCTTTGAATGAGTTCACTTACTAATCTTACTTCCTGAACAAGCCAGAAGCTCATTTAGGAAATGCCATATTTTGATACTGGTATCTGTGAAATAAACAATTTGCTTCATTTGTGTTTGCAGGAAATTAAGGACACTATGCTGGTAGAGGGTTCAGTTGCAGAAGAATTTTAAAGAATTTATTTTCACATTATGAAAAGTGCCTCTCTATGATTCCCTTTTTTGAGATCTGACTCATTTGGTGTTGTTGTGTCAGAATGAATGTAAAGAATGGAATGTAAATGCATTGATATTCATTGCTTCGGCTGGGTGCTTTTTATTTCTATTTTTTAAAAGTTCATTGTTATTTGAAGTTCTCCTAAAATTATGACTTAGTCCTTCCAGGTGTTAGCCAATGGGGGATAAAAAAAAAGGCAAGCTCTAGAAAGTTCCGGCCAATAGCAAGTGTACCTCTTGATTCTCTGTTGACCTGGGAAATTCATCTCCGGTGAAAGGTCCCTTAGCTAATAGAGGCTCCTGAAATGAGCAGATTTGTCTTCCTCCCCGCCCCCCAGTCTTTCCTGCCTTCCCACCTTCCTTCCTCCTTCCCTCTCTCTATTCCTTCCTTTTTTTCTTTTCTGTTAAGGTTTATAATATAAACAAGCCTGAAATAGTTAAACCTCAAATGGCTGATCAGGGGAGGCCGTCCCTGGTCGGGAACCATGGTTGTGTGTTCCAATGTCACATGAACTAGAATCCCGGAACTCTCAGCTTCAGCACCACTGACATCCGACGCCATGCTTCCTTGTCGTGGGCACCGTTCTGTGCTCAGTAGGACGTTTAACGGGGGTTCCCGGCCTCTCTGCTCACTGGGCGCCAGAACCCTCCTCTTCCCCTGCCTTTCCTCAGTGAGGGCAACAGAACTACCTCCAGGTATTGCCAGACGCTCCCTGGTGGGCAGAAATTACCCCTGCCTGGAGCCGCTAAGCTAGGTCGAGCCTTCAACTGTGGACATTTGACAACGTCCATCTCCTTCAAGGTTTAAAACCAACAAAACAACAGAAAGCATTATATAACAGAACTATCTCTCCTTAAAGTTTTTTCTGTTAGAACTTTTTACAATTAGTAATGATTGTACTTTATTGGAATCTAGTATTAACAGTTATTTTAGCTTGAGATCATTAGTTGTTTTACATCTAACATATCAATACTTAATAACACTTTCAAAGCATATTCCATTTTTTAGAGGCTCTGCTTTTCAAAAGCAGAATGAAATTTGCTGTTTTACAGACTTTCCAAGTATGTGGCAGTGAGACACACTAAATCAAGATATAACATCGTATCTACTTGAACAATACAATAATTTTTTAAAAGATATAAATAATCTCATTATGAAGGGGAGGATATAATAAAATCCTGTTCAAATCGATGAATTAAATAAACTTTAAAGAACCCTGCAAGAAAAAAAATGTTAGCTAAGTGAGGTAGTGGGTGTTACCTAAATTTACTGTGGTATCATATTGAATATACACGCATATTAACTCACTACGTTGTACATCTCACACTAATGTTCTCTGTCGATAAGAGCTCAGTGAAACGGAGAAAAAGGCCCGTTCCCATCGCGGGCGCCTGGGACCCACTTCCTGCGCCTGTGCGCACGGTGTGGGCTTGGCCGAGGCCCAGGCACGGCCTGCGCGGACGGAAACGGAGCAGCAGGTGTGGGGAGGGGGCGGCTGCGCGCGGGCACAGGGCCGTCCCGCGGCCACCTGGCACCACTGGCCGCTTCGTGGTCACCGAGACGCAGAATGTGACCTGTGCGGGCGAGACAGGGGCACGACCATTTCAGACCTGCTGTGGCAGGCAGCGAATAACGCGTGGGAGCCACGCGCGTCAGTGGGTGGGGCCGAGCGCCGCCTCCCAACCCGGCTCCGGCGACCGGCGCAGGCTTTGGCCCCCCCCCCCCGCCCCGTGCGTGTACAAACCCACGGGCGGCGTGCGCCTCCCACTCACCGGGGAGCTCGTTCAGGAAGATGGTGAAGCCCGACGGGGCGAGCCACTGCAGCGCCGCGGGGCCGGCGCGCTCGTCCGCGCAGTGCAGCGCCACCGGCTGCCCCTGCTCCACCGTCACCGTCTCCGCTGTCATCGTCTCCGCAGTCCCCGACTCCGTCTGCTCCGGTACCAGGGCCACTGCGGGGAGAGCAGAGCGGACGGTCAGCGAGCTGCAGCCCCCCGCCCCCAGCGGAGGCAGGGACTTGTCTCCACCCGGCCACAGTCACCGGTTCCACCGTTTGGTGCTCGTTTCTTATGGAAGCGCGATAGGAGTCGGCGGCGAGCTGCGAGAGGGAAGCGGCGGCACGGGGCGTGGGAGCCGCGAGGGCTGCGCGGAGAGGCTCTGCCCGAGGCGTGGGGTCTTGGTGGGAAAGGAGGGGTGAAGGGGAACAGCATCTCCGGGGCACTTGCTCTGTCCTACGCCAGCAACCATGTCACATCTGTTACCTCCATTTAACTCTCATACTGACCCCATAAAGGAAGAATTGTTTGGTGCAGTCTCCAGATGAGGGATGAGAACCGCAAGGTCAGCGGGGCTTGCAGCTGGGATCGGTAGCCAGGTCTGGGAGCTACAAAGTCCATCCCTTGTGACTGGATTGGACTGTCTAAGTGACGAGCCCCCAAGGAGCCTGAGCCCTTCTGGCCTCAGTTTATGAAACTAGCAACTTGTGCCTTCAAGTGCAAGTCTGGGCGTCTGGGAAGACATTGTTACAGCCCGTGGGCTCTTGTGAATCAGGCATTGCCCTTCACGGGGTAGTTAAGCTTCCACGCTGGAGAAAGAAAGCCTCAGATCTCTTCCAATGTGAAGTCCACAGCCATGCTCTATCCTGGCCCACAACAGTCTGGTCTCCCCAAGTCGCCACCCCCAGAGAGTAGTAAGCAATTGATTTTAAGTAGCTATAAGTTCATTTTCCCTAAAAGGGTAGTGATAGAAAAGGAAATTGGCCCATTTATTGCTATTTGTTATTTCTTCAAGTTTTAAATTTAAAAAGATAGTTTTCTGAGGATGACAATTTTTATCAATAAAAGTACAGAACACTTCCTCAAACATACAAATACTGCGGGGTTACAAATTAAAACCACAGTGAGATACCACCTCACACCAGTCAGAATGGCCATCATCAACAAATCAACAAACAAGTGTTGGAGAGGATGCAGAGAAAAGGGAACCCTAGTGCACTGTTGGTGGGAATGCAGGCTGCTGCAGCAACTGTGGAAAACAGTATGGAATTTCCTCAGAAAACCAAAAATGGAACTGCCTTTTGACCCAGCAATTCTGCTGCTAGGAAAATATAACCAAACAAAATATAACCAAACAAAATATAACTGCAAACAAAATATAACCAAAGACATTGAAATTAAGAACAATCTAATAGTCAGAGGGGAGGCTGGAGGGGACAGAGGGGAGAACAGTTTTCAGAAACTAGTATGAAGAACACTTGGACAGAACCAAGGAGGAGAGTGGAAGCAAGGGAGGGAGGGAGGGAGGGAGGGAGGGAGGGAGGGAGGAAGGTTTGGCTGGGGTAGGTGAGAGTGGTGGGGAGAAAATGCAAACAACTGTAGTTGAACAACAATAAAGTAATTTAAAAATAAAGAATACTGTGGGGTTAGAAATTGTGAACAACAGATATGAGTTTTACTGCATTACTTTACATCTTAAAAAAAGAAAGAAATGAGAAGGGAGTTATTTGTTTGTGATGAATTTTAAGTATTAGAAAAAATGCTTTGGAAAGCTTTGCAAACTAATTGGTGCAGACTTTTTAGTTTGTTCCATTCCTAGGTCTTCAATTTCAGTCTAGCCTCTGGCAACAACAAGCCAGAATTATTGTATTGTATTGTGTTCATTCTGACTTTCCTAGAAAAAGAGTTCGCTTAAGTCCTAATGGAAAAATACTCATATCATCAACCAATACTACAATAAACAACAAAGGGTTAATAAAAGAGTGTTTTGTTTGTTTGTTTGTTTGTTTGTTTGTTTTTTCAAAAAAGCGCTGAGGTATGAGGCCAGAATCCTGCTCAGGTTGGGTCGTTTAGAAATATTCTAATCTATGGAGGGTGGGAGGTGGGGTTGGCTGGGGTGGGGGAGAAAGGAGGGTGGAAATGGAGACAACGTCATTTGAACAACAATAAAAAGTGTAATTAAAAAAGAAATATTCTAATCTACAAAATCAACCCATAATGGAGTAATAAAGATAGTAGTAGAAAGGCTTTGAAATGAGAACAGAACTTTTTCTAAGGTTAAACGGCTTCTGAGCCCAGAATTTGAGTCTAGAACTAACTGCCATCATCTCCACAAGCATTTATTTCATGGTGATTCTTGCTTTGCTCTCTGATTCTTGTGCATCAGCTTGCTTCTCACAACAAACCGGATTTTCTGAAGGGCAGTGAGTACATTTTATGTTTCCCTAAAATCTGTTCCTCACAGAGACTATGACAGTGTCAGCTTTGAAGGCAGTGGTTTGGTGCTGGCTCTACAAACCTTCGCTCTCCTGCTGTTATTGGAACACTGGGAGTCAGGAGGGTAGTTACTACATTGAATCAATAACTGAATAAAAGACTAGAATTAATCAATATGTCCTGATTTCATCCTTCGGGTCAGAAGTTGATATTTAGAAATTTCGCCAATGTTCTTCCCTTTAGTAAAATGCTTGTCTAGACGGGAAGCCTGCCTTTGAGGAGATGGGAGTGACAAAGTTTATCTGCAGCCTGTTTATGAATAAATGCCTTTCATTTTAAAGATGTGTGTAGCATTGTCTTTTTCTTGGGAGGCATGCTTATAAATTACATTGTGTCATCTAATTCTTCAAATGTCTTAAAAATTGTCCTGAAACATGGTATGGCTTTTTAGTGTATGCTAAGTGATCTTATCTCCTAAGATTAGTGTTTGCTCTTGCTGTTGAGATTTCAGTGTCAGGCTCTGGGCAGACTGACCACACTGAAGATGCCTGAGGTGAGAGGGGAAGGGCTGTGCTTGAGGCATAGAAAACCCATCGTTTTCTTTCTGCTTTGCTCCAAGCCTTGCTTTTGGTGTTACAGGCCTATTTGTCCTTCAGAGTTGCCATTTAGACCCTGCATTTGATTGAGACTCAGTTAATCATTGTAGGAAGACTAGCCTGCGTGAGAAAGCACCGACCCGCATGGCTCCAGCCGTGGTGCTTGACAATACTGTGCAGTGAGTCTAGGCCGTGTTAAAGGGTGGGAGACAATCGCTGCACCTAAGTTTCTATGGCACATCTTCTAAGTAAAAGTTCCTCGTGGTCCTCTCACTGACACTGATAACCAAACTGGCACTCATCTTTTAAACTGTTTTTCACCTAAGTTTAGAGTCAAATTTTCACTTTCTTCAGAGGGATGGGGTGCGGGGCATCCTCTCTGCCCACCACTTCCTCCCTGCAGGCTGTGAAAACACATATGCCTTTATTCACCCTTTCTTTTGTAGACCCAAGTGCCATGCCTACCCCTTCATTTTCCCCAGCTGAGCTTCAGTGTTCCCACCTGCAGAGCAGCTCTGTGTGGCTTCGCAGTGCAGAGCATGCAGAGCTCAGCAGTGAGTGACCATGTGGCCTCTCTTGGAGTCACCACTTAAGCATTGGTAGGTCACTTCACCGCATGGACTATTGATTTCTGGGCTCAGTTGCTACTCCATGACTGGATTCATCCATCCATGCATAGCACGTGTGATGAGGTACTCACTGAGTCAGTCCATGAAGGCCGTTGATTGTGCCTGGGTTGTACATGGAACCCGTGATCATCACCACTCCAGCCTGGACCCCATTAACTAATTGTCCTAATAGTGGAGTGGCTTCACACCAAAGCACATGCAACCAATCCTCAGGCCAAAGGGCAAGCAGCTGCCACAGCCACCTACACATAAATAAAACCTAGCCAGTTCTAAAGATTCCTTGTTTTTTCCCAAGGTTTTTGGAGTTGTGTGTAATCTCCATGTCTACCATAGGTCTTCACAGGAGACTAAAAAAAGTATTCTTTCTTTTTCTTACCTTAGTAGCTTAAATTTGCACATGATACATTTGAAAGCTCCAGAACAGAGTCTGTCCTGCACTAAGCTGGCCACATCCAGTTGGAACTCACTTTGTTTCTGTTGCTCCTTGCATCACATGGACACCTGGCACAGATATAGTGCCTGCCTCACTCCGGCATCCCTCATACTCATGAATGTCATCACCAGCTACTGCACACCAAGTGTCTGAGAGGCACCCCCTCTCTCCAGGACATCCCTTTAATCAACATATTCCCCCCCCCCCCCCCCGCTTTTTTTTCTTTTACTATTGCTGCCTTAGTTGAGACCTCCATTGCTTTTTTCCTGAACCATGGCAATTACTTCCTTCTGGTCTCCGCTCCCTCTAATTTATCATCCTCATCTGTTTCCAGAATTAGATTTTCAAAATACAAATTTGATCATGTGTGTTTCTTTATTAGACTATTTGTAAAGGCTCCCATCGATATTAAGAATCAGACCAAAATTTCAGACTATCTTCTCCAGTATCATTTTCTGGTTCTACTACTCAGACGTTCCACGCAGATGGCCATTTGCTGTTTCTAGAAAGTTCCAGGCTAATGAAGATACTTAGCTGTGGTCCATGCTGTTCCCTTGGCCCAGAATTCTTTGCTTATCTCCTTCAAGACTCAACTCACATTACCCAACTTTTGTCAAAGCCTGCCCAAACGAGTCTTTGGGCTCCATCCTCTGCACAAGGACTTACCCACTCTCTCCTCCAGATCCCCAAAGGCTTTGAGTAGATTTTATTATAGTACTTAGCACAGTACTTTATAATTATTTGTTACAAAGTAAGATTTTAAGCATTAGTTAATAGCTAAAAATGAGTACCTGTATAATGTATATATTCAGTATTAAGATGCTAACTTTGTACTTATTATATTAAATAATGAAGATTAGAGCTAAGTTAATTCTCTAAGTTAACAATTAGTTAATTCTCAAACCAGGGCCTTATTTACATGAGTATTATGAAGTAGCAGGCAAAATGTGCTTCCATTAGAACATTACAAAAAGGAATAATTATTGTTTCTAGATAGAATCAATACAGAAAATTACAAATATGAAAATGAATTAGCCCTGGTTGATGTGGCTCAGTGGATTGAGTGCTGGCCTATGAACCAAACCGGTTGCCGGTTTGATGCCCAATCAGGGCACATGCCTAGGTTGTGGACCGGGTCCCCAGTGGGGGGCGCATGAGAGGTAACCACACATGGATGTTTCTTTCCTTCTCTTTCTCCCTCTGTTCCCCTCTCTAAATAAAAATAAATAAAATCTTAAAAAAGAAGATGAATCTAGTTTTGTCAAATCAACTTATTTCCAGTATAACTTGAAAGAAATTGTCTCAAATAAGTGTCAGCAAACACGTGATTTCTTCCTAGTGAAATGAAGAATCAACAAGACCCTCCTCAAATTACAACTGTTCCTTCTGTTTCCTGTATCGTACCCTCCACTAAACAACCAGAATAGAGGGTGCAAATTAGTAAATTTTCATCAGCCACAATGTAGGCCAATGGGATTAATTTTGAAAAAGTTTTTTGTTCTTATTATGTTTTAGCTAGCCATCCTAGTAGATATTTATGCCAATGGTAGCCTCAAAAAAGAGTGTAGGCTGGAAGATTATTGGACTTTTCTGGTTTGTATATTTTTAGCAGCCTTAGAAGTTGCACAGTAGAAGAAGGTAGAGTGATCATTCCATAATCTAGTTAGCTAAAAGCAGCTGATGATTTATAGCGGTGCTGGAATTGACGACTTGCTGGCTTTTAACCAACAAGACAGCAACATGGGCGGCTCCTTTCTTACTGGGACTCCAATGGGCCTGGGCAAGATCTGGGCAGAGTGGGCAGCCTGTGCTCCGGCATCAGCAAGACTGGATGCCCGCTGGGCGACCCTTAGGGCGACTTTTCACATCGGGACTTGTCAATAATAAATCTTCCAAGGCCTGCAAATCGTGCCTTTGAAACTAGTGACCCACACTCAGAAACATGTGTTCTGTCACACAACCCAGCACATGCACACAAATTCATGAGAAAATGCTTTTACTATGTGCTTTGTAGGCTGATGTTCACATTGTTATTTACTATTTGTGGAGACATGGGCAGGCTATCTAACTTCTTTAGCCTCAAATTTTCTCATATGTAAATTAGAGATATTAATACCTACCTCAGTATCATTGCTAGAATTAAATGCAATGAATAAAAAGCACCTAGCTCTGTACATTACACAATAAATATATTTCTGTTTCCTTTATAAATAATATTTGATTACATTTCTAAAACCCCTGCCTTAGGCTTACCATAAAACATAGTCGTTGCTATTTTTACTTAAAAACTTGTTTTTGTGAGGTATTTTGATGAGACAATAACGACTTGAATCCTGAAAAAGTTAAGGTCAATAGAAGGCTTTAAGCTTTGGAATAATTGGAAGCATTCTAAAGCTGTTGAAATGTGGGGTTTTTCCCTGAATATAGTAGCTATTCTTTAAGCCAGTTATTAAGGAACTAATATTATTTATTACCAAAATTGAATACTTATCACATGCTTTAGGGTTCAGGGATGAAACCACAAGGCTCATATTGAAGTGTATAAAGTAAAAAGTTGAAGAAAGTGATGCAAAAGAAGAAATCTAGTCTTTAAATAACAACTTTCTGATGCAATTCCATGGTGATGCAGATTTAGAAGGTCAGGTGCATTACCTGAAACAACTCCAGGCTCAATATTTGGAAACACATACACACAACAAGCAAGCAGCTCATTGTGTGGTTTCCTCTGCAAGAGCCGGAGGTGAGCTGCAATCAGATGTCCAGGGACACCCACACCTCTGCCCTTGCTTTTGGGCAGGAACGCTTTGACCTGCACGCTATAGGTAACTGAGCCTTTCTTTCATTCCCATAATGCTGCCTTAGAATTCAAGAACCAAAAATAAAATTTGAAAGTTATAATAAAACATAAGGTATAACTGACTCTTAAGAAAGAAGCACAGAGTTTTATTTGGCTTATTATTACCTCTGAGCTAATCAAGAGTAGTTTGTCATTTTGTCATTTTCAACGTGCCTTCACACTCGAAATTTGATTCATACAATGATCCTGGGAGTTTAGTGGATCAAACATTGTTATCATCTTCATTTCAAGATGGAGAGACTGAGTTTCAGAGAAATTGCATTATTTGGCTAAGATTTATGCAGAGCAAGGAAATTTTTAAAATCCTAAACAAATGTTTGTTCAAGTGGTACACTCTTAAAAGATCCAGAAAGCTTGCCACATGTTGCCATAACACAGACCCAAAGACACACCCTACAATGCTCCTCTCTGTGTCCTCTGTTAACTGAACAAGAGACTGAACAAATGCAGTAACATCCCTCACATGGAGTTCTGGTGTGACTTGGAACATATTAGCAAACTTACCTGGCTGTCTTCTCTAGTAGGTCCTCGGAGAATGCAGATGATTAACTGACTGGTAGATCTGACAAAACACTGGGTGAACTGAGCAGCAAACAACATGAGGTCTAAGTGCTTACCTACCTTGTAAGGGGAACCAAACCAGCAAGCTGCAGACTCTCCACCACATACTGCGCCGTGCCGCTGTGTCAACTTCCTCTAGACTCTGCAATAAATGGGGCAGAGTGGTCTCTTTTGAAGGGGGAGAAGCAGCAGCTCTGTGACCTCCTGTGTCTCAATTCCTCCACCTACTCTGGAAGCCCCTCTGTACTAAGCTGCCCCCAAAACACCTCCCGGTGGAACATTTAGTGGGCCATGTATGTCATCTGGGTTGTGGAGAGGTGTGAGTGATGTGTTGGTGGCAAAAATCATTCTATTACTCGTGGGTAGTACTGGGAAGTCATCTCACTGAAAGACTTTGGGTGAGAGGAGGTGTGAGCAACAGATTAAAATGTCCCTGTGAAGTAATGCCACCTTATTTTTACTTTTTTAGTTTATTGAACAATTATGATTAGACAAGTTTTGCTGAAACCTTGGGAATATGCTATATTTCTAATTCTGATGACAATTTATAATGCTTATTAAGATCATAATTCATTCATTTACATATTTGCTCATTAAAATAATCTGTATATCTTCCCATCCATCACCCACCCACTCATCTCCCACCCATCCTTCCTTCCCTCCTCCACCCTTCCATCTATTCAGCCATGTAGTACACATGGTTATTTATTTATTTTAATATATTTTCTGATTATGCTATTATAGTTGTCCATATTCCCCTCTTTATTCCCCTCCTCCCCTCCCACCAGCATTCCCTCCCTTAGTTCATGTCCATGGGCCATACATATAAGTTCTTTGACTTCTACATTTCCTATACCATTCTTAACCCCTCCCTGTGTATTTTGTACCTACCATTTGTGCTTCTTATTCCCTGTACCTTTTTCCTCATTCTCCCCACTCCACCTCTCTGCTCATGTCCCTCCATGTGATCTCCATTTCTATAATTCTGTTCCTTTTATAGTTGTTTGCTTAGTCTGTTTTTGTTTTTGTTTGATCTTTGTTTGTTTCTTTCACCTTAGTCTCAGTGATGGAAGATTTTCGGACATTGGAGACTGACAAGGAAGAAGAAGAACAAACCACTCAAGACCCTGACCTGACCACTGGTGAGTGTCCCCCACTGTATTGTAGAGTAAACACTTGACATTTTCAGCTCTCATGAGTCCAATAGTGTTTTTCAGTCCTCATTTTCTTGACCCTTCTGCTGGTTGATCACTCCCTTGTTCTGTGACTTAGTTGCCTGCTGGTTTCCGTGACACACTCTGCCAGTCCTATGACTTTCTCTGTGTCCATGAGCGAACTTCCCTTCCTCCTCTCACTGCTAATATATACATGTGCTTCTAACTGGACGTCCCTGTCATTGGTTCTTTCCTGAATTCTTTTTTGAAAATGTATTTTCTTGATTATGCTCTTACAGTTGTCCCATTTTTTCCCCTTTATTCCCCTCTGCCCTGCACACCCCCTCCATCATTCCCTCCCTCCTTAGTTCATGCCCATGGGTCATACAGATAAGTTGTTCGGCTTCTCCATTCCCTATACTATTCCCAGCTTCCCACTGTCTATTTTGTACCTATCATTTATGCTTCTTATTCTCTGTACCTTTTCCCACATTCTCACCCCTCCATCTACCTGCTGCTATCCCTCCATGTGATCTCCATTTCTATGATTCTCTTCTTGTTTTAGTTGTTTGCTTAGTTTGTTTTTATTTTTGTTTTTTTAGGTCTGGTTGTTGATAGTTGTGAGTTTGTCATCATTTTACCATTCGTATTGTTGATCAGCTTCTTTTTCTTAGATAAATCCCTTTAACATTTCATATAATAAGGGTTTGGTGATGATGAACTCCTTTAACTTGACCTTATCTGGGAAGCACTTTATCTGCCCTTCCATTCTAAATGAAAGCTTTGCTGGATAGAGTCATCTTGGATTTTGGCCTTTACTTTTCATGACTTAGGAATACATCTTTCCAGCCCCTTCTAATGACTGCAAGGTTTCTTTTGGGAAATCCGCTGATAGTCTTATGGGAATTCCTTTATAGGTAATGCTCTCCTTTTCTCTTACTGCTTTTAGGATTCTCTCCTTATCTTTAATCTTGGGTAATATAATTATGATGTGCTTTGGTATGTGCTTCCTTGGGTCCAATTTTTTGGGGACTGTCTGAGCTTCCTGGATTTCCTGGAAGTCTATTTCCTTTGTCAGATTAGGGAAGTTCTCCTTTAGTATTTTTTAAACAAGTTTTCAATTTCTTGCTTTTCCTCTTTTCCTTCTGATACCCCTAGGATTCATATGTTGGAAACTTTCAAGTTGTCCCAGAGGTCCCTAAGCCTCATTTCATTTGGTTGAATTCTTGTTTCTTCATTCTGTTCTGGTTGAATGTCTATTTCTTTTTCTGGTCCAAATTGCTAATTTGAGTCCTGGTTTCCTTCCCTTCACTGTTGGTTCCCTGTACATTTTCCTTTATTTCACTTTATATAGCCTTCACTCTTTCCTTCATTTTGTGGCCATACTCAGCCATTTCTGCGAGCGTCCTGATTATCAGTGATTTGAACTCTGAATCTGATAGGTTGGCTATCTCTTCATTGCTTAGTTCTATTTTTTGAGTTTTGATCTGTTCTTTCATTTGGGCCATAGCTCTTTTTGTCTCAGTGGGCCCGAGATGTAGTAAGGGGCAGAGCCTAAGGTATTTGCCAGGGCAGGGCAAGGCAAGGCATTTTGCTGTTTGTGGTGTTCTCTGTGGGGGAGGGGTTGAGAGGAAACAATGCTTCTTGCTTAGCTTTCTACAGGCTTTCAGCTATTTCCCTGGCAACCCACAAGCAAATTGGGCCCTTCTAGTGCTGATTCCCAGGTGGGTAGGTTTCTGTACATTCTAGGACCCTGTGGGTCTCTCCAACAAACTCTCCTGTGAGGCTGGGAGTTTCTCCCACTGTCAAAACACCCACAGGTTTTTTTAGTCAGAGGTTTTGAGGCTTTATATTTCACATGCTGGAACCCTGAGTTGCGCGGTCTGTCTCACTCCCCAGTTGTTCCTCCTGGTTTATGCACATGGAAATGTGGGGCTGCCCGCTCTACCAGCCACTGCCTTGCCCACCCTGGCCCTCCAGCTGCCACCTTGCCACGAGTCCTCTCTGCCTCTGCTTCCCATCTCCACCCCTCCTACTGGTCTGGATGAATGTTTCTTCTTTAACTCCTTGGTTGTCAGACTTCCATACAGGTCAATTTTCTGGCAGTTCTGGTTGTTTTTTGTTTTTAAATTTTTTGTCATACTTCTTTTGGTAGTGAGAGGAGGCATAGTTTATCTACCTATGCCTCCATGTTGGCCAGAAGTGCCCTAGCACACACTGTTTTAAGATAGAATCAGATATGACAGGTAAATTCTTATTTTTAGGACAATGTGATGTAGTGGGGGAGATAATATGTAGATGAACAATATTGGTATTTAATCTTCAATAATTGAACAAATTGAGATAGACTCGATTTCACTTTTCCAGGGGCACATAGCAACATACTAATAAGCTTATGTTTAGGAAATAGAGGCTAGTCTGTAATGTTTGGAAAATTGTAAAGGAAATGATATTTACTGGTCGTAATTGATTGAATGTTAATATTCTGTAAATGTGTCAATCATTTGGATAGGAAAAATTCTATCTATCAACAGTGTCTTCAAAATATTTTACCTATTTCAACAGGTAGAAAAACAATAAAAAGAGAGAAAAAAGAGCTTTCTTAAGAAGCTTAGCACAATCTAATATGTGTTAAATTATATGGTGATACAAATGCCTTGAAATATCAGCTAAAAAAATTCAGATTGCAAGGGTCAGCCTGGATTGATTAAATCAGAATTTCACTTGAATGAGCAGCCACCTGTCTATTTAATTAGCTGTATAGGTATCTGTATGGTAAGTGGAGGCAGTCTGGCTTCCTTGACCAGGTGTCTGGGTAGCTAAGGGAAGCAGTGTTCCCATAGATTTGGAGGGTCTGATAACCAGTGTTCTCACAGCCTTGACACTGGGTCCGATAAGCTGTTCCTATAACATGAACTGGGCTCACATGTGCAGAACTGTGTTATGTTATGTAAGGTTCTGGTAGTTTTCTGAATTTGTTCTCCTCTAGTACTTACACAGGTAGGGACTCCCTGCTGGGGGTGATGATGATGAGAGACATGCAATGAGACAGGTGCCACGATGGGTGCCACTCTGGGGAGCAGGGGCCGTGACATGTGCTATGCAGAGACATGCAAATAGACACGCAGCCTGCTATGTGCATGGCCCACCCACCCATGAATAAAGGCATGCCAGACATCCCAACAGCTCCGTGAATATTATTCCACCTGTGCGAATACCATGGACCTGCCTGGTCTTGAAGGGTGGCAGCACAGTATCACAAGGGAAGTTTGAACAATTCCGGCTGTGAGGGTGTTCTGGAATGGAAACCAAGAGCTGTGGGAGCTAGCCCTGACTCTACTATTTGCTGGTGTGGCTAGGGTCACAGAAGGTTCTCCTAGCTGTTTGTTGACCATATTGAGATATATTGACTTACTTATGGAAGCAGAGAGTGACTGTGGCATTGCACCATTTTTAAAATAAAGAATTAAAGAGTTTATCTGAAGTGGAACAATGAGTCTGTGGCTGAACTGAGAGTAGAAACAAGTACTTTCGAGTTTTTGGTCTGATTATTATTTTTTCCTCATAAGATTCTACTCCATGGACTCTAGTTTCTATAGTAAAGGTTCCATGGGTGTCTGAGCATTTGATTTTCTTGGTAATGCTGTTTCCTTGCTTTGGGGAGAGGCTTTATTTTTGTGACCTGTCTCATATCACCTTAAGAAAGCCGGGTGACAGTGCACGTGAGGTATCTCTGGGCCTTCCGAGGGAGGTGTGAACTGACCGTGGCTCGTTAAGTGGCTAGTTAAGGATCTCTCACATTTGCACCTGGCAGAGGGCTTTCCAAAATCACTTTTACAAGAAAAAAAGTTAAGACGCCATCATGAGACTCTGTTTTAAGCCAGTGGGGGAAAAATGTTGAACCAATTTTGAAGTAAATCCAGGTAAGGGGACTGCAAAAGAGTCATGTTGCTTCCAATTGTGGTTTTTCTGTAATTTTTCTGTTGGGTAAAAAACACACAGAAATGTAAGTGAAAAAAGAATGAATACAGGACTTAGATGACCAGAGAATGAAATATTCTGAGACTGAAACTTAAATGTATAGTGCAATCTATCAAATCTATTGACGTGATGGGTTTTAGTGCAATACCCATGAGAGATTCACATA